TCAAGACGACATCTCTTCCAGTGACGTCCATGCAAATTTCAACAAGACAATGCAAAACCTCATCCTGCACATTACCAAGGCCTGGCTGTGGAGGAAAAGGGTGTGAGTACTGGACTGGCCTGTCTGCAGCCCTGACCTGTCCCCAACAGAGAATGTGTCTCAGTTTGAAACACAAACTCTGTCAACAAAGACTCAGGACTGTTGAGCACCTTAAGACTTGTTTGCAGGAATAATGGGACAAAATGCCACCTGACACATTTAATCACTTGGTGTCCTCAGTCTGTAAATGTCGTGAAAAGGAACAGCAACATCACACAGCTGGTCAAGAAGGCCCAACGGCAGCTGTACTTCCTGAGGAGGCTGAGGAGGTTTGGCATGTCACCTAGGATCCTTTGCAACTTCTACAGCTGCATCGTCAAGAGCATCTTGACCAGCTGCATCACCGTCTGGTATGGCAGCACTACTGCTATGGACCACAAACGCCTGCAGAGAGTGGTAAAGACTGTGGAGAAAATCACCAGGACTCCACTGCCCTCTCTGCAGAGCATTTACCACCGTAGGGTGTGTAGGAAAGCTGCCTCCATTCTCAAAGATCCCACCCACCCCCAGCACGGACTGTTCGCCTCCCTACCCTCTGGCTGGAGGTTCAGAAGTGTGAAATGTAGGACCTCTAGACTGAAAAACTTTTTCTTTCCCTCTGCCATCAGACTCCTAAACAGTGGAGGAGTTTAATACCAGGAAATATGTGATGTACTGTTTACATTCTCAGTTTGCACATGCATAATTGCACAATGACTGTTGACTGCTGCACATGCTGCTCCCATGCAGCATACATTCTGTTATATTCTTGTATTTTTTTTATTATATTGCTGCATTTGCTGCTTAAAGTGTCTTAGATTTAGTGTTACTTATTTATTTACTTTACATTTCATTTGTATTTTGTGGCATTCACGTGGACGGCAAAGTAAGAATTTCATTGTACAGGGAAACACGTTTCCTAACTGTGCATATGACAAATAAACACTTTGACCTTGACCTTGACTTTTACTGTCTACTTCTTTTGGAATGTGTTGCAGGGACCAGAACTGAATTGAATGTTTGTTTTTAACAATGGAATCAAATTGATGAGGTGTCACATCAAATAATGTGCTGCTGTATTGTTTTTAATGTAATATAGGACACAGATGAGTTACAAAGCATTATTTTCAGTGTTAATTTTGATTTTACATACTGTCCCAACTTTTTCTGATTTGAGGTTGTAAATTAAGCAAAAACTCCCATAAGTTCAGTCATTACTGGTAAATTACCTTATATTTTATAGTTTAGGTGTGAGCTGCTTGATGGAGGGTGATGGTGGCGGGTTGTCTGTGTTTTTGTTAAAAATAATAAATGCTTTTTTGTTTTTAATCTTGGAAATTAATGACTGTTTTGGTGCATGAAAAACAGACTGATACCTCCAGAAGTAAATGGGTTTTTCATTCATTTACTAAAAATATCTATGTTGCATCAAACGGAATTAATTTGGGTAAGAAATAAATCTGATTTTTGAATGAATTTCATTTCAAATTTGAAATGTTTTAAGATATGATCGTTCAGCCTGACATGGTGTATTAGTCTACCATGTGAAATAGATGGAGTTTGGGGGAATTGTTGGATTCTCCTTATTAGAGTCTTTCTTTTGTTAGTGTTTTTATCATTTATGTTTGATTTGTGTTTTTTGTGATAACAGTGTTTAGGAAATAAATGGTTCTAAAGTCATTTTAGAACTGTAGACAGGAATAAAACTGTTTTGTCCACCAGAGTGAAAATCTGAGATGGCCAAAGTAAGAAAGAAAAGCCAATGTATTCTCTTCCATTTAGATTTTTGTAACTCCATTTACTTTTCTTTGTAAGAAAGCCTCTCGTGAAAACACTGCAGTGAAGCTCTTGATATATCCAAACAGAACACATCCCTGACTCCAGTGCTTGCCAATGAAGTTGAGAGTTTTTACAGATTTCAGCATCACAGATCTTGGCTTGTTGTAGGATCCTCAGACAGGCCCTTCTAAAACACCGGGAATGTTTCTTTTTTTAAGAGCCTTGAGACTTTAAAAGAGCCTGTCTGGTGAGAAGAGTTCACACTGTGTTGTATAAATTCAATAAGGCGTTATTTTGTTTTTCTTTTTTAACGCGTAAAATAAAGTGTATTTTTGTATTATGATGCATATGAATGTACATGAACTCATGTGTAATGAACTGTATGTGTATATGTACACGTCTGTCTATATAAAGGCTCGCACATACCTTATATATTTGTGTATCTGTTGTATACAGTGTGGACTGTCTTAATGTATATCTATATTTATGTGTAAATCTTTACATTCTGTATATTTTGCCATATATGTATTCTCTATTCTGATATAATGCTTTTAATGTTTTGGCTTTTATCAATTGATTTCTAACCACATGCTACCATTTGTAGCAGTTTTCTATCCATTTCAGCTTCTCACCATCTATCATGGGTTGAGAGAAACTAACAGTTTGGGGCACTTGTACTTTCTTTGAACATTTGCTGACCCATTTCAAGGGAAATGTTAGATTTTTTACGCACTAAATTTGTGACACATGAAGTTAGGTTCTTAGCAATTTACATTGTTACATAATAACGTATCATAGTATATATATTACTGTCAATGCGAGGTAAATCAGTTTACACTAGCCAGTCAGTGGCAGCTAAAGGACCTTTAACGTTAACACGGCTTATATACAAAAAGAATGTAACTATAATTGAGTCAGAATATGTTAGAATGAGTCGTTTTACAAATTTGCAAAGCTTTGAATACACGGATTGTGATGATGTCACAACATTTTAGACACTTTCACCACTTACTGCAGCACACTGACATTGTTTGAACAGAGTCTAACCAGTTTTTGTCAAGAAACTCCTATCCTGAGTTTGTCCAAACCTAACTGGTATAGTTACCAGCTGGCTGATGGGTCTAAATAAATCAAACGCCTCCATGACAGAGAATACCAGACCATAGAAAGCGGAGTCGTACGCGAACAGGAACGTTTAGGCAACACACAAACATTTTAATTTGGATCACACACAGGCGCGCGCAAGCACATACACACACATGGAGAGGCTCCTCACTCCGACTCGGCAACCCTCAAAATACCCACATGTTCGTGCAGCGGAAGTTTTCAAGCAACCTTATCTGAAGCTTTATCTGAGTTGGAGATGTGCTGCAGAAAGACGGGTCAAAGGGGACCGCGGGGCTTCTGCAGGACGAAGCATTAGGGATATGAAACACATGCCAGACCTGTCATGTTCAATTTACAGTTGACGGAAAAGTGTTTTTTCTTTACTTTGTTGGATAATTTAGCCACAAAGAATCGTTTGAAATTTTTCTTTTTTAAACAATTAAAGACAGAAAGCAGGAAAACCTGTTATTTTGCTCCTCAAAACTGCGCAAGGCCAGTGGAAATCAGTCACGATGCAAACATTTTCCCATGTCTTCCTCCCCACCACCCCACCACCCCCCGGTGCGTTTACTTTATTTCGCCAATTATTACAGCGAGGGTCGGGACAGTGTTGACTCTCAGTGCGCCTGAGAAAGATTTTACAGCCATTCATCAGCTCGCGAGGCGCACAAATAGTCTTTAAAACTATAAACACCATCGCTGGATCGGAGACGGGGGGACCCATTTACCCCGTGGCTGCGCTAAACGCTGAAGATAAAACAAACGATAATACTGTCTGTCTCCTGTGACCGTCTCCACAGGCATTACTGGTGGGTTTTGTGCCAACAGTACGGGGGGGAGGACAACGACGACACGTGTAGGCCATGCGTCATTACGCACAGTAGTCTCCATTTTACTGCTGTCCGGAGAAATAATTTGTACATTGTTAATGTGAATACATAAATTATTGATTGTATACTAATTTTACATATCACATAACTCACCCCAAAACCACCAACACTGTAAAATTAAACGTTTAAAAGAAAGAAAAGTGATTTTTTGTTTGTTTGTTTGTTTTGGTTAAAACCTGGGTGTCATATATGACACTTCTTAAGGATAACCTGGCCTGCGGCGTGGGTGGGAGGGTATGTGTGTGCAGGTTTGTTGTCATCTGTTATCACGTGCTGATAAGGCCGACAGTGGCTCCACAATCTCTTGGAGGCAGACGGCAGAATGTGTCGCTCCTGGTTTCAGGTTCCGTGTTCAGGGACCCAACCTGTTGTCTGCTCCTCTCTGTCTTGAGGCTTGTCTGCTCCGTTTCCCGTATGATGACGGACAGAGCGACACCCCAAAACAAATGCTCACGCGCACGATCACGCTTATCAGTTCCACTGACCCTTGTTATTTCCTCTTATTATAATGCACATTTTGACGCTTTGGTTGTTAGTATATGATTCATCTATAGAGACTTGTAAAATATTTCTCTTGGTACTGGATGTGTGTAAACATGCGCCCGTAGAATTACTGGAAACGCTGTTGCACTGTGCGTAATAACGCATTACAAAGCTGAGAAAAATCAACCTAACAGGGTACTTATAATTTCACTTAATTTAAGCATTTTATAAGTCATGGTTATTCCAAGCTGGGGCAGAAAAAAAGCAGATCTCTCCACAGAGTCAAGAACTTCGCTTTGAAATGAGAATTAGATGTGGTTGGGTTGCAGTGAATGAACACATGTAGGCACAAAATCAACATCAGGCCTAACATGTACCAGACATCACTTTACGTCATAAAATGGAGTACCACTGACTCCCCCCTTCCTCCCTCACTCTCTCCCACCTCCTCGTCCCTGCGTCACTGGGAGGAGAGGGGGGTCAAGAAAATAGTTTGGAGACAGAGTTGACATTCAAAATGCACTCTTCACTCAAGACAAGTCTGCTATACAAAACTAATACTTAAATCCAGTAAATATTTCCAGAAAGGAGAGGGAGTTTGTTGATGTCTTTTGGTTTCCTTCATATGACAGGTTAATAGCTTTTCTTTTTGAGCTCTTGGCCATGTTTCCCAGCCCCAGCACGTCCACTCCCTTCTCTGTAAAGGATATATTAAACCTGGAGCACAGTCATGACGTTATGGTGTCTTCTCTGGACGTTTCTTCTCGTATGGACTGCTGCACGGTGCCGACATCCTCCTCCTCCTCCTGCATGCTGGCCCGCATGAAGCAGGAGCCTCTCCGGGACATGTCCGCCGCCGTCGCCTCCGCCACACTGTTTGGAGAAGACCCCCACGAGTCCAGAGCAGGCAGGGGCAATGCACTCAACTTTGCTACTACCTTTTATGGGAAATCCCTCATTGAGATGGACATAGTTAAGGATGCGAAATCAGAGACGTTAGAGGGAAGACGCCGCAAAGGTGAGCTGATGAGAAGAGAACAGTTTGTAAGCCCTTTGAAAAATCAGGCCTACACGGTCCTTGATTGTGCACAACGGAACAGATGCACCTAGAAACAGCTCCACTAAAACAATGAGCACAAGTAGGAAACACGTTTCTATCTGCATGCACACGTTTAAACAGAACTCTTAAATTTAAGCACATATAGAAGTTAAGCTGGTTAGTTTTCTTTAGATCTGCTAGACTATCCATAAATTAGTCATTAAAATCTGTTGGGGCCTAGTTGCATTGCACATTGTAGAGTTATTTAATAACGTGTTACATGCGTGAAAGTTGCATGTAAAGATGTCTTTTTTCCTAAGCTTACACTGAATGTATGATGGGTGTCAAAAAGAACCACCAAATTTGTAAGATAATTTTACAAATTACTATTATTATTATTATTGGTGTTGTTGGTAGAAGTGGAAAAATAACTAATAAGGAAAATGACAATAAAATTTGCTTCTGTGTCAAGAAGATACATTTGATGATAGGCTACTTATTTTTTAATTTAATCATTTTTTCTTTGCCTGGTTTAATCAGAAGAGTTCAGTGCTCCGGCCGAGCCTGCAGAGCACATAAAAACGGAGGATCCGGACCGACCAAAACCCCGGAGACGCAGGAAGCCGCGGGTCCTCTTCTCCCAGGCGCAGGTGTACGAGTTGGAGCGCCGCTTCAAGCAGCAGAGATACCTGTCCGCCCCGGAGAGAGACCACCTGGCCGGGGTGCTCAAACTCACCCCGACCCAGGTGAAGATCTGGTTCCAGAACAGGAGGTACAAGTGCAAGCGACAGAGGCAGGACCAGAGCCTGGAGATGGTGTCCCTGCCGCCGCCGAGGAGAGTGTCGGTGCCGGTGCTGGTACGGGATGGCAAACCCTGCCTGGCGGCAGACACGGCCACCTACAACCCCTCCTACAGCATGGGTCACATCAACCATTTCACGTATAACAACTACCCGGCTTTCACTAACTACACCAGTCCCGACTGCAACACAAACTATGCCTGTAATTACCCTGCTGCTTCAATGCAAGGGCCGTCCAACAACGGGAACTATATAAACTTTGGGGTCGGGGACCTGAACAATGTCCAGAACACATTCTCCTCCAGCAACGGGGTGTCCTCACTACATGGCATTAGGACGTGGTAAACCAGGGACAATGCATTCAATAGGCTACTCGTGTTAAGTTTAACGGGGTTATTTTGTGACTGCATGCATTTTTAAATGTGTCGAGATTTTGCGTAGTTTGTGTAACTTCTCTTGTTTTTTTTTAATAACCTTGGCTACTTTTGGTAGTTTTTGCTTTCAGCGACTGTTTCTTTCTGACTAGCCCACATTTCCATTTATTTCCGTGACATTAGCGCACGGCCAGGTAAAATCGACAAAATCACAATAAATAAAGTTGCAATAGTTGATTTTAATTATAATAAATGTGCCCTAACAATTTCTATTTCTTTATCTTGGACCTCATTTTTAAGTGGGCGACGATGTAAAATACAAACTAAGGGTAATATTTTAGGCTATTGCACATTAAAACATTGCCTATTTATCATTATTATTATTATTATTTCTGACGTAACAATGTGTTTTACCCACCTTGTAATTGGTTCTGGCTACCAATACACATAAAAACAACAACATGAACTCTAATTTGACACCGTAGTTGAACTGGTCACTTTGTAGCTGCGCATAAAGGAGTGTAAGGCCTGTACAATGGTACATATGGTGTGTGTCTGCTTAAAATGTTCAAGTGGCTTTTAGGAGGCTTCCTTCAATATGCCTAAACAGGTTAAACGGTTGTTAAAACGTGACACGTTTTACAACCCGTTGTCAGCCTTATGTACACTCCACACATGGAGAGACGTCAGCGAGCCAGACCTCATCCTTCATCATTATTATTATTATTATTATTTTAAACTCTGGTTCTAGTAAGAAAATGCCATGGATATTTTGATTTTCATTCATTGTACTGCAAAAAGATTCCACATACGTAACCTGTCAAATGAATGAATGCCACCAATATTTTCTCTGTATTAAATATGAAAACCAACTGAAGACCTGATCCAAGACATGTATCCATTTTTGGAGACTGTACTTGATTATTAAAGATGACTTTTTTTGAAACTTTGTCTGCTCTGCTCAGTCTTTATTGTGTCTTATTTGAAAAGGCAACAAGACTAGTTTAACTGGGCGCCCACTCGGCTGTAAAAATGCACAGGTAATGTTTGTAATAACTACTGAACAAAGCTCTGTCCAAATGCAAAACTGCCTATAGATCCCCTTTAGCTGTGTGGTGCCCGTGTTTACGATATTAGCTTGGAGATGCGAACACCCCCCTCAGACCTGAAACCCACTTGTCAAGATACAAAACCAAACACTTGATGGACACCATCACAGTGCTAAATGCAATAATAGTCCAATTTGCTTGACAGAGAGCCAGAGGCCTTGTCTAAGTGTGCAGTTATATGAACAGGCTAGAAACTGGCTCTGCCCAACTGCCCCACTTTACATGAGTAAGAGATGCTTAGGCATCTCTCAGGACTCTCCACACATACTCTGTTTCTTCTATCACACTTTAAACCATGCAAAAACACATGTGACACACATGTCAAACATTAAGTCAAAAGACTGTTTATTGATCAACAATACTGACAACAGTTGCATTAAATAAACAAAACAGCAGTGCCAGGCAATGGCATAAAGGGGAGCAAGGTCATGTAGCTCCCCTGGCCACCCTCTCCTGTGAGGTGTTGAAAAGGCACCGTCAGATAACAGCGCCACACAAACCTAAAAATATCCCCCCTCGCCCCCCACACACGCTGGAAAGGGAGAGGGATACGGTTTGGAATAATCTGCTTTTCCGGGTCTTATCTGAAGAAAGGCAGAGATGCATGCTGCTCTATCTCGACCAGTGTGATCACTGCCACTGCTTTTCTGATCTTTTCTGCTCTGCTGCAGGCCAGGGCCAAGTTAACACGCACTTACTTTGAATCAGTTTTTTTTTAGTTTACAGGACATCTAAAAAAATAATAATAATAATAGGCACAATCTGAAATGCACATGGTACCATTCTGATTACTGGGTTAGTGAAAGAGTGAGGGTTCAGTCATACTGAAAGAAAAAACTCATTTCAGTGTTTCTGTTCTCATTATAACCTACAGTAATTATACAAATATTATAAATAACAAAAATCTTCATATTCATAAAAACATGACTTGCACAGTGACTATATAAAAACTATAATGGTTTGGTGAAAACAAGTTACTGAGGAATATAAGAGCCTTCTCTGTGTTACACACACAGTTTCCAACCACAATCACACTAAGCATTGTATTTGGCAATATTGTCTTCATGCAAACAACAGTTTGCTGCCGAGGAGGAAAGGTGGTTCTTGTTTTGTGCTCAGACATACACTGATTTATTAGTACATCATTTTCCTTATTTTTAAAATCTTAAACTGACTCCATTGTGTGTGCACATCTGATAAATATGGAAGAAAAAACTGTACTAGACCCTTCACAGGAATGTGTAAAAGAAAAGTTTTCTATGGGTCGTCCTTCCTTTAATATGAGTTTAACCAAACAATTCATGGCATTACTAATGCTAGTGAAAGACAGAGACACCTGACACAATTTGTGCCACTGACAAGTACACTGTCTTTAATGAATTATTTGCTTTGTGTGATTAAAAGTACATAGACCAAAATCTAGATGTTAGTGTGAAGGTTCATCTTCGATATTTCTGCCTCAGCTTTGTCACAGTTCAGCCAAGTGAACGGCCACTAATGTATGATGAGTGTGTAATATGAAGCAGTAGTCAGAGCTGTTTTAAATCATGTGCACTGACTATGGAGAGTACTGTATGTGGTTATGTGAGAGCTTCTTCAGAGGTACCTACAAGAAGGGGAACAGTCTTTTCTTGAGGATATAGAGAACTGTAGCGAGGAAGAGGGCGAGCGCCAAGAAGATGAGCAGTTTATCAGTGAGTTCCCTGCGGTTGTACTTGGTAATAAGTTTCCTCCCGAGCTGGATGGTCCCTGTCATCGTCTTAAATTCCTCATTGGTTTCTTGGATTGTCCTTGAGGAGGTTGCTTCAGACATGAGAGAAAACTGAGTTCAGCACAATGCTTTTTATTGAAAGGAGGGCAAGGCTGCACACACATCATTCATACATTCATTTCAGATACAGTGCACTGAAATAGTTCAACTTTAAACAATTTACAGTATTTAAGGTTAAACTAAAATTGGTGTCCAGAAAGATATGAATCAACCTACACCCATGGTAGGAGGTCCAGTAAACAAGCACACATGCAGCTCCCCTTTAATGGATTTTAAGGTGCAGTGGCTAAGACTTTACACACTGACTGATAAATCAAGTGAAAATGACACTTGGTTACCTACAGCCCCTGTGTTGTTATTCCAGCTTCTCTACACTGTGAAGTCAAAGTGTGTTCTGTAAATTAGCCCCACCTGACACCCAGCGAAGGTTGAAAAAAAAAAGTTTTTCAAAATGCGAGTAGTCATTTCGAACAATCAGCTGTAGAAAACCTCTCCTCAGCTACACATCACTGTCCCTGAAACAGTGGCTACCAGAGCAAAGAGGCCACATTCTTTTGCATGGAGAGAGTGGGACAAACAAAACAGGGTTAACTTCAGTTTGGCTTTTTGAGATGGAGAGAGTTAAAGGACTCAGACTTGGTTCAGATGCGGTGTTCTTTCTGAATGTGTTGGTATCTAAAGCTGATGTGTTTGCTTTGTTAACATTAGTAATCATTCATGGTCATAATTTTGCATTTGTATTGAATTAATATGATTTTAATTTCTGAGTAACTGGAGCTCTGCGTAATGTTTGTGCTTTGTGTCACCCAGCATTGTTGAACTGTCAGCCTTGTCACTTGACATTGCACTGCTGATATGCTGATATGCTTGTTATTCAGCAAATGCTAGCTTTGGACTGGAAGCTGCCTCTTGTACAGTTTGTCACAACCAAGCGACCATAGTTCATGTGTTAGTTTTAGGAAAAGACGGGAAGAGCAAAGAAAGAAGAAGGGTAAGCAGTGGTTTATGGTGCGAGTCTGCGTCTTAGTAGACCCTCTGGTAGCTTTAAATATGAATCAAACCATATCCAAAACCAGTAAACAATTATATTTTATGTATAATGTCTATGGTAGAAAGCTATTAGTAAATTTAGTAACACACTGCTAATAGGCTCTTTACACCAAACGATTCCATCACTAACCTAGTGACGTTGTAGTCTCCTCGCTCTGCTGAACCTGCTGGGCCATCATCCGGCTGACGCTCATTAGATTTTCTGTAATGTCACTGGTTGTCTGAGCCAGGCCCTCTTTGGTTATTTTCCTGAGAAAGAGATCCAAAAATGCTCTTAGTGCTAATTAAAACAATTCCTATAAAAAAAAAATTAAAATAAGAGAAAAAATGTATTTTTGTAATTTCAACACTGACTGAATTTAATTCATTGTTCAAAAACATTTTGACAAGACATTGATCTGATCTTTATTTCTCAATGCCTCTTGTTTATGAGCCTGTCTCTCTAAACAGTATAGGACACGTTGTCTGACAGCTCACCTCTGTCTCACAGCGCTATCGGCTCCACTAAGAAGTGCCTGCTTTTCCATATTGTCTATGGACAGTTTGCAGGCCAGGTTGGCTTTCCTCCAAGCTGTCTGGTTACTGTGAAATACACAAAAATAAAGTAATCAGAAAACAGAGGGCAAGACTACATTATCTTTCATACATCTCGACACAAGTTTGGGCAGTAATATTAACACAAAAATGATGGGATATACAGTGCATAATTCACAAATTAAATGGTAAATGTTTTGCTCTAAAAGACATACCTCAGCATCTGTTTTCTGTGTCCCTCTACCTGACTGATCAAAGCTTGCTTGTCTGACTCTTTGTCCTGCTCCATCGCCATCTGCTCTAAATCCTTTCAACATAACAAAATAACACCCATTACATATTTAATCACAAGTGCAAGCATTTGATACTGAACTTGTGCATGATGTTTGCATAAATTTTCACAAAGCAGTATTGGCCTACAATATTTCTCACCTGGATCCGTGATCTGAAGTTATGAAAACTCTTTTTCACAGCTGCATTCAGGTCTGTCAGCTTGTTGTGAGGGCCTGTGCACTCACTAATATCCTGGTGAGATACGGTATGAAGCAAGGATAAGTGAAAGACATGCCTTCTACATCCTTAAGCTACTGCGCTCTCATTTGAAAGTGCACAGAACCTCTGCTGGACAAGAAGTGTTTTGACAATTTGTGTTGCTCCAGAGCGTTAACAACGAATGGAATTTATCTGCTTTACAGAAAATCTAGTTTCACCCTACAGATGAAATACAAACATCACTATATAATAAAATGAAATTAAAATGGCAATATGTTGTGAATATTATGTTAAATAACAGCTCTACTATAGCTAATAATTATTTTCATTGTGAACTAATTATTTTTTGGGCTGATTTTTTCAGATGAGAAAAACACCCAATATCTTGTGAAATACTGCGTTTGTCCAACCAACAGTCAGTAACATAACCTAGAAAGGCAGCCAAATAATCCTATGCACACTAGAGAAACTGAAAGTATAGGTTTGAATTTTTTTTTTATTTTTGGACTTGATAGCAGAAGGTTACACTGAACAATTGGTCGTTCAGCGATTTTTTCCAATTAATTTGCTGTAACGTTAAATAATTCTTATTTAAATAGGCTACCAGGCAGATGTTTCAGTCTATTTAAGAAAAAAAAAAACAAAAAAACAAAATATAACCCCCCTAAAAACAAGGGGTGGAAAAATAAAACCTACAATTAACATCAGTAAGCTTAGAAAAGGTGCTAGACTAGTCTTATTTAAGCAGATTTAACATTTAAACTTGGAACTCCGTGTCCGTATGACCTTTCTACCTGACAGGATCCAACGTTAGTTTTTCTAGCTAGCTCGCTGATTACAAACCATCTAAGGTTATAGCTGTTGCTTTCTTTCTTAATAAAACTTGCTTAAAATATTGGCAAGCACATTTGGCGGTCCACTTTGGATTAAAGCACTTTTACTCCACTCTTTCATCCCGGAATGCGGCTCGGCATGTAGGTAACGTTACACCGGCTGACTGCATCTCAAAACGCCAGATGTTGTAATAACGCCAGCAGTGAAAACTACGCTTCCCATAAATGACAAGTTCAGCAGCCAGCATACTGTAACGTAGCACTCAGTAATCTTACCAAATACATGTTCGCACCTGGATGAGAGCTTTAATTTCCAAGTCATACTTGAGTATTTCTTGTTCACATATTCGGACATGGACATCTGAGAACGCCATGTTGCCAACGTAGCCGGCTCAAGCTACGGGAAGCACGAAGGCAAGTTAGAACTTCGACTTTCGACTTTGCCCGTGGAGCCAACCGATTAAAATATATTAAATAACATTTAATATTAAGTCATTTATATACAGTGTATGAGTAAAACTAAAATATTACCCAGAAGCTACACAACGTTATGTACGCCACAGTGCAAAGAAATGAGTTATAACACTCTTATGTAGGCTAATTAAAATGTACTACGATAGCAAACTGCATATATTTTATACACGTCAGCACAATGAGAAAGCTATATTATTTATTATGAAAATTAAGCTATTATGGGCATCAAGGTAAGCCATTAGTGTATAAAATAGTTTTAAAAAAGAAAAAAAGAAGAAATACAAAGGTTGAGTCACAAGAGTCAATTAGGCTATTTATTCATTGGCAACGACTGAATGAATTACACACATAACTAATATTAACAGACAAAATTAGATCACATCAAATACACCACACCAGATATTTAAAGGCAACATTATAAATATTAAGACAATATACATCATAATGTAACAACAACAAACAACACCAAGTGAAGGCTGCTTTAATTTAAGATAAAGTACATCCAGTAAGATCTCTTCAGAAGTCCTTTGGGAATTATTTTTGTACAAGGCAACAGTGCGGGCATCACTCATTGATCACACAGAGATCTGAGAATAAGGCAATTCAGAAGGAACGGTCCATTGGTATGCAGCAGTGCCAGGTCCTCTTCTGCTGGCAGAAAAGGCAAAGTATTTTAGAGAAAATCAAGCCAAGCAATAAAACACCTTAACCTCAGGCTACATATAAAGCTAGTTTATATAATCCACATCAATGTGGGTTCAATGGGTTTTGCTTTCAGGGGAAGAAATTTACCTGCATGGTCAGGAGTCCTGGAAATGTAAATTAAGGCCAGTGATACTTCAGGTACCAGATGGTGTCATTGGTCAGAGCAGGCCCAAAAAGTGGGTTCAGCTGGGCCAGAATTGCTATCAACCAGCTGATGGAAAGAAAGAATATTTAGCTCACCTGTGTTGATACCAAACTACTCAGCAACAAAACTGCACATCAAAGCTCGGTGACACACTCCACTTTGCTAATACTGCCCTCTTTTGCCCATCTGATCACTGACATGAAACATGACACCATACACACTTGCACAGAGTTGTGAATATAAATAATGAATCACGAGAAAGAAACGGGCAACAACAATAAAAACCTTAATGATAACCTTTGTTTTACTGTCACAGTAAAATTAATAGTGAGTCAAAGAAGAACAGCTGAATACCAACCAAATCAATGTCCACAGCCTCAGCTACACAAATGAATGGCCACTCAGTGGAAACGAGGTCATGTATTTGTTTTATAATTTGTAACATATATTATTAGGGCTGCAATGTTTTTATCAAGTAAATGTGTGGTCTAGAAAATGGTCAAAAATGTGTAATAATCTAAAGCCCAATGTGACATTTTGAGATGTCTTGTTTTGCTGATCAACAGCCCCAAACACCAACGAATCATTTCAGAGATTTATTTTATAAACCCAATACTCACTGACGCTCCATTACTTTGGTTGAATATGTAAACCTACTATACGTGCATATGCACTTTAAAACGCATACTCCCATAAATAATGTTTAAGAAATGTCCAGGATGATCATACTTACAACAGGTAGCAGCAAGCTGCAGTTAAAATCAGCATTACGACTATCGTTCTGCGGAAATAGGAGAAAATAAGTAAAAGTGATACACTTTGCAGTTAATAACTATAAATTATTTTCAACACATCATAGGCAATTCACTAGCTAACACACAAGTTGATCTCGTGATGCGAGTGAAGGGGAAATGTGAAGCTTCCCTCGACTCACAGGACAAACGATGTCAAATTAGCTTCAGTTAGCTAACAATCCCAACTTTTACTTACGAACAAGTAATGCTAACACGCAAGGTTTACATTTGTAAAACAGAAGTAACTTTGAGAAACATTTAAAAAGTAACGGAACCTTGCACACTTTATATCTACTTGTACCAAACGAGAATCACGGGACAATTTACGAGAAAAACTCAACTTGGCTAGCGCTTTCTAGCTCACTGGAAGCTAAAGTGAAGCTAACTAACAAACTTACCCTCTGTTTGGTCCTTTGGGGATAAACCAGGGCACGACGATTCCGACAAAACCCCAAAACAGGGTTATCACAGAAATGGTGATCACAAACTTTAACGATAGTTCTGCCATGTTGGTGGTGTTCTGTTTCAAACCTAGAATAAGACAGGAATACAAACTTTTGACCTAAGACAACTTGTCTTCAGACCTGCTGCACCCGACGGAAGAGAATAGGCAGCCCGTATCACATGACCATTAGAGGAAGTACAACGAGTCCTTGTATAAACATTTGTAAAGCATGCATCGGCTTAAAATCTGGACTTGTCTATAGAACGTTTTCTGCCGATCATCCCAATATGAAACATTATTAAAGTTTAAATAAACTGGTGAATTTGCTAGTTTAAGATTTTAAAAAAATATGACAATTTCCTCCGGATATGTAAGCCCTAACCCTGTTTTTGGGATTTTCCTCGAAAAACGCATACCCAAAATGAAATGTGTATATCTCTGCAACCACAAGGTGTATTTGATTGCTCTTGGTGTCAAAAGAAAGGGAACACCTGTGAGATTTGTCAGGAGGTGTAAATATCATTCTATGTTTTGTTGTTGAAGAGTAAATGAAGATGGCACACAGCACAAATTAGATTTTTCAGGTTTGCCTATGTTAGTGTTAGGTATTTTTAGTCAGATAGAAATTGGATAGATACTTTATGTATTAGAAATGTTTAGTGGAGATAGGATGTCTAGTTAGACTGTTAAATGCTTAGTCATGCTTATGAGTTTCTACAGGGTACATCTGGTCAAGGATAACTAGAGAGAAGAGTTGATGACTGTCAGCAGACAGGGTGTTTAATATTATTATTATGACGTGTATAACTGTAGCCTTAGCCATAATAGGTTCTTATGTTTAAACATCTAAATACAAAACTGGATTTTTTTTCCAAAACAGAACTTTACTGAAACTCACACACTCAAAAACACACCATTTACACTGTGCAACTCTAAGAAAATTGTGCAACTGTAAACACACCATTTACACTATTGTCCATGTAAATGGCAATGTTACTTCCCTTCATGCCACAGCTTGAAGCAGTTTTTGTTTTTAGTGAGGCAGAGGGGAACCCCACACTTTGTACCGTAAAGTGGTGTCTTTACACACCTGATTCCAGCCTTGGTGCACCTCACACAGTACTTCCTGGGCTGTCCTTCCCCTTCAAAGAAAGCGGGAAGGCAAGTGGTGGGGTTAGCTGCTGAGTCTTCAGCAACCATCAGCATATCTTTGGCCAGCTGTTCTCTGAATTGTTTTTGGGTGTAGGGCTTTGGCTGGGTGCTGTCCTGTCGGTACTTGTACAGCTCCTTGTGTAGGAGGAAGCTGTTCACCACAGCAATGTCAACAAAGTGGTAGAAAAACGTTTTGTACCACTTTGTTGTCTTGTGATGAACGCTGTAAAACCCAACAAGTTGATCTGACAAATCCACACCACCCATGTACTTGTTGTAGTCCACAATACAGTCTGGAACAGGTACCTGCTTGTTATTCCAGACCCCAGCCTCCTTCACTTTTCTCTTTACAGTCTTTCCAGTGAAGGCCTGATGGATTGTGGAGCACATTGCAACAGGTCTTGTGTCCATCCATTTGACAAACAGAAGGTTGCCACTACGAATCCAGCACAGGTCTCCCCTCTGGGCCTTTTTGGGCAGGTCATTGGTCTCGGTCTTTGGGAAGCCAATGCAATTTTTTCTGATTGTGCCACAACAGCCAATGTTCTTCTTGGCCAAGTCAGAAAAGA